AATACAGCAGGCATTACCCCTCTGAACAGCAGCGCTGAGTCGCTGAAGTAGAAAACTAGCTGCCCTGGGATCCCTAGTTACCCTGATGAGTCTTTTGCCTAACTCCTTAAGGAACTTAGATGTACTCTTTCCCCATGAGCCAAGGGTCTCTGAGCGTGTGGGAACAAATATATATATATATATCAGTAAGAAAACTGACGCACTTGAAGTTTAGTGGGAATATTTGGTATATGTTTGCTTAATAGTCACCAACCAGTCTTCAAAATACATAAATGTAAAAGTATAGATGGTTTGGTGAATGTAATTTTAAATAATGTATGTATGAATTGAGTGATCAGCGTAGCGTATAATTAAATCTAAGCCTTCACTTGAATGTCAAAGGCAAACACTCAGAATTAAGATAACGTCTTAAAATATGCTTGCATACCAACGAGATGAAATAATTTAACGTTATAACCGAGAACTGAATATTCTGGTTTGATCTTGATGGATATTACACCACTATCGTAAAATCTTATTTGTAACGATTAAATATCAATTATTATTGCTTTTGTTGTCCCAGTGAGAGTTGTTTGTGACTGTACGAGTCAAACTGCTGAATAACCTTGTTAGATAATTAACACATGTGTTAATTATCTAACATACATTGCTTGCATAATTAACACATGTTAATTATGCAAGCAATGTATGACCACTACTAGTACACCTCTTCCCATGAATAATAATAATAATAATAATACACAGTAATATGTGAATTAATACTAGTATTTTATTTATGGGAAAGCGCTAAATCCGCAAAGATCATGTAATGCCTAGGAAACAGGAGGTAAACCGGCTTGATCCGAGGAAATGACTACAATTATGAGGGAATCACTAAACCTTTATGTGATATACAGCGCCAATGAAAATGGGAGGCAATAAGGTTTGATCCAAAGATGGGCAGGTCAGATCAAGTGCAGTGGATCAAAGGCCTCTTACCACGTCAAAAAATGTCTCATAAGGGAGGGATCCCAGGAAATGACAGGAGTAGCTCCAACTCCTTGGATCAAGGCACCCCCATTATTTTTCAATTGATATACATTTTTTTTTTAAATTTTCAATGTATTGTATAACTTGCAGATTAATCAAGTGTTTTTTTATTGATAGGTTTAAAACTTATCAAGTGAACGTGGGTTGCTAAACCTCCATCCTGCCATTAATATTCAAGAATAGTTTATATACACCTCCGCTTATATACGGTAACCTCTATGTCAGTTTGTTGGGTATATAGCCTATCGACTGAACACTGGTCATTACGACTGCATTTCACCTATACACCACCAATCAAGAATGTTTTAATACCTAAAACGGGGAACAAAGTAAATTTTCAGTGTATATACATCGAGAGATGCACATCTCTCAGCGTTTACAGACTTGGTAAAAGAAAAACTTTTGTAAGGAAGTTTTACTGCACATTACAAGGCAGCGAACACTAGGCAGCGCACATAAGGCAGCGAACACTAGGCAGCGAACACTAGGCAGCAGCGAACACTAGGCAGCGAACACTAGGCAGCGAACACTAGGCAGCAGCGAACACTAGGCAGCGAACACTAGGCAGCAGCGAACACTAGGCAGCAGCAAACACTAGGCAGCGAACATTTTCGTCAGCAGGAATGTCTAACGTTAACATACATTTACAACAATACAAGATCGTATATTCTGTTGGTTGTAGAATTTCAGGACCAGCATCAACGTGCTTTTGAATATGTATACACGTAGTTAGCAATTACTGATTATGTGAAGGATGGAGTAGAGATGAATGGTAAATCTGTTAGTATGATGTAGCAGAAATTGTTGCTCTTCTAAAACGTTTTTTATGGCGATGACAAAACAAGAAATACACACTACTTCTCATACAAGATATAAAAACAAGGCCTTGCAACTACAGGTTAAGTTAATAAGAAACATGTGTTATTATATTCATATTCCAATATATTCTGTGAATGCTTGTAAGAATATCAAGATATTTAATTAAGCCGATATTTGGAAGTCTTAATTATTTGTATGGAAATTACACCCAAACACACAAATACATACACACACAGACACGGACACACATATAGACACAGATACACACAGACACACACACAGACACATACAGACACACATGCAGACACAGCTACACACACAGACACAGACATACAGACAGATACACAGAGACACACACAAACACGATACACACAAACACAGACAGACAGACACACAACACACACACACACACACACACACACACACACACACACACACCACACACACACACACACACACACACACACACACATACACACACACCACATATATAAAGTAACACTAAAGAATTTCTTTGGTAATACAAAGGGCAGTACTAAAGAACCCTTCAATGAATATATTACACAAGATTCAAGTTAAAACATTGCCTGTAGACCGCTAATAAATTAATTGGATATAAACTAGTATTTCGTCTCTAAAATATAAGTAATATAGCATTACTTGTAGAAAATAAAGACATCACTGATGAAACATTAGAGGACTTTAAGAGGCAGATCACTTTTACAGCAAGTAAATAGGTGAGTTACTCTGTTAATGGAAACTGAATGAGATTAAAATCAGTAATTACAAAAAAAAATATGTACTCAGATAAAAAAAAAATATGTTGGAGCTCTGTGTTTACTAATGGATAACGAATTACAATTGTTTGCTTTAATTCATGGAGATAATAAGATTACTGCTCCTCCTGAGTTCCAAGGATATGTATTAACCTTGATGTTTTGAATGTTACCAGGGGATCAAGAACCTGACATTTTTTACTGTTTATGAATTTGGATATACACAAATGATCTGCATTAAGGAGACTGAAACTTACAGCAACGTTTTGATCCGACTTATACTGGTGTTAGTGGTGTAAATGGGACCGAAACGTCATCTTAAGTTTCAGTCTGGTAAGTGAGGGATATTTGTGAATTGTTCAAGCCATGGAGTTGCTAGATTCATGATGCGTCAGTAATTCGAGATTTAGTTAGGCAAAATTATTAACCTGTTTCTTGCTAACCCCTGACAGCAACTGTTACAAGAAACTCAAGATGTCTAGTACCAGTGTTTATTCTTATTTCCAGTCACATTATACAAGTATATATGAGTGGAGCAAAGCCTTTTGCAACATCATTATATAATTAACTAATAGTTCAGATATGCACAGCCAAGATTCTGCCAACAGTAATCAGACTCACTATAGTGTTACAAGTCTTCTGCATCTTCATTACCTCTGGTAAAATATAAGTGAAGTGTAGCCGTACTTTCGTTTGCAACTTAACTGTTTTGATGTTATGGTGGCTGTATGACCCTTACGGATTTAGCGCTTGGTTATGATAATAATAATATTATGGTGAGCTGAGCAACGGATACTGTTACATTATCAAGCTGTTAAAACATTCCCAACATTTATACCAAAGTCTTGTATTGCCATTTTTAATAATAACGGCTGTATATAAGGGAGGAAAGGTTTAAAGGCCACAACCTTCATTATCCCAAGAAATATATTGTTCATTTTATAAAAAAAATAACGGATCAGATACATCAGCAGTAACCTTACCTTTCATCCATCAATTTAGGAAATATTAGATACATCCCAGAATAATATGAATAAATCATAAGATAAACAAATATTACTACCAATAAAAATTTATTAGGATACTGATTTCTAATTTATTTACTATATCAATTAATGACGTTGGTTTATTGTGTTATTAAGACTGTACAGTCAGAGTTGATGTTATGTTGAGGTCTACAGCCAAGCTCCTTATGAAGGTTTAGGCTTGGTGCTGGTGAAAATTTCTTGATTTGAGAAATTGGAGTCATCATCCTTTTCCTCGGAGCAAATCAGATTAGGTCTGATTCTACAGACAATGTATAACTCTTACGGACTTTGTGCACACTGAACTCGTTTGTCATGGGTTCGATCCATACCCTTTCTGTATAGGTTACGTAAGTTTTGTCAGGAAACAGGACAAGTGTTTCCTGACGCGGGTCTTAGTCATATGATGACCCGCAGCTGGAACTTTTGGTCATCTGACCGAAGCCTTTTCCTGGCTTACCGGTTCACCCCATTCAAAATTTTGGCACCCTTTCTGTGATTTCATAAATAATATACCTTGGTCCCTAATTTTTCAGTGCCTATTGGATAAATCTTTGGAATGTAGTGGTCGAGCCATCAACTCAAATTCTGAGTCAGTTGTTTTAACCAGAAAAGGAGTCCTGATTAATTAATACAACGCTCACATATGTGACACAAAATATAAGTTGAATTAAAATCTTCATCAAGTCAAGCTTGACCTGATAAAAGTACACATAGTCAAGTTGTATTGATAAAATTATTTAACAGTTATGGTGAATGATTAACGTGAGTGTTGATCTAGAACCGAGGAACCTCTAAATCTTTATGGACCATACACAACCTGCAGAATGTGAGGTAATCAGATCTGATCCAAGGAAAAGGATTATTCTGTAGCTCCAGGTTCTTTGATCAAGAGGCAGCATGAAGAGTTAGGCCAGTATATACACATTGCTTGCCTAGTTGATATTACGCTATTTCATATTCATCTGAAGCAATGTATCAGTCCTTGGTCTGGTTATTTGTGGAAAAAGTTAATTTTTTTACAAGCCGAAAAAGCCTGATTATAATTCGAAAATTATGATGAATTACATAAAATTTGATTTTTGATGCCGAAGCTGCTAGTTCATTGTGCACTTTATATGCGTTCCGTAGACCATAACGCAAACCACATAATACACAAAAACCCTAGAAACTAGACCTCAAAAGACGTTAACCAAATTATAAACTAACACACTTATTTTCACGTGCAAAGGCTGAATTTAAATAAAAATTCAGGAAACTAAATTCTAGTATTATTTCCTTGGTTTATGGCTCCGCCCACTTTGTGACGTCATGAAGGTAGTGACCAATGAGGGAAGGAAGAGAGTGTACACGTCACTAAGTCTCCCAGAGAGGCTGTACTTCCCGCCAGTCGTACACCTACATTAAGTTTCACTATTTTATTGCGATTTTAGTGCTTATTTTCAACCCTGAAACCGAAAATTAAGTAGAAGACCGTTTCGTGAAAGTCTCTGGACAATAGGAGGTAAGTGAATATTGCAAATTTTATGCTCAATATGGAAATAATTTGTAAAAAAAATGTTTTGGAACATTTACTATTCCAAAATCTTCTGGGTGACGATTTTTTTTACAGCAACTTAATAATTTTGAAACCGTGATGTGAGCATTTAATGCACGTGTAGATAAAAAAAGTATATAAGTTGTTAATTGATAAATTCACCCTAATAAGATAAAACGAACAAGCGCCATATTGCTCACGTTCCCAGCGACGAACACTGATGACGAACATTTTTAGTGACCATAATCGTGTCTAGCTAACAGAAGCGAACATTGCATATGAACATTATCAAATTATAACCATGTCTATCCAGCAGTAGCGAATTCACCGCTTTTGACTATTATTTAACGATTACCTTGTCTAGCCAACAATAGTGAACACAAACACCAGGAAAACCACTATCCGACGAGCCCTTCTCTGAGTGGTACCTAGTGAAGGGCTAGTGCTCCAAGGAATTGGAGTTACCCTCTTTCCTCGAGAAACCTGATTACTTCCCATTCTTGAAGAGGGTTTAGCGCTTCCCCATGAATATAATTATAATGAAATGCTTGAAAGAACGCGCTCTTTGCCACTTCGTGTAGAAAAAAAAGGAGAAAAATAAACGAGTTTGATACTCATATGTGAATAATGCGTTTCATGCGTTAGTCAACCTTAAATTCCAGTGTACTTTAGTAGTCCACACACAAAATAATTCTCTGCTTCACGCAAAATTCCATCAATTTAACAATCTAAATTTCATTTCATTTGCTCTCTTGAAAGGCAGTAAGAATCTGTATGCTTAACTTACTGCATATCAGCTTCTTGAGAAATTGCACCTGTCTTGATCAATTAATTAAGAAGGTTAGGTGGGCACTTCGTTCTTTAGCAGCAGTGAACTCGAGACCTTATGAAGACCTGTGTTAAGATCCACTTCTTGTTACTTTAAAATGTCGTTTAGCGGGAGTGGAGGAAGGGTTGTCAAGTCAGCTCACGAAGACTAAATCAGTCACTGTTGTCAAGGCACACACGCCAAGCCACGTTTATCCTGGTAGTTTACTGTTTTTAATGCTTAAATTACTCAGCAGAAAATAACCCAACAAAGGAGAGTTTGTATGGTGTAGATAAATGATTCAGATTACCGACAGGATGATTAATTAGACACTTGTGCAACAATAAAGATACCCAAGTGTTACACAAATGTTTAATTAATCAGCTCGCTCAAAACTATTTATAAATATGGTACAGACGGCATATCTTAATGTAATTTTGACGCTTTACAAAACAAATCGTCTGAGGTATTTTCAGTTGGAGAGTTGTATTGGAAATAAGTAAGTAACATTTATTGAGATCACAGAAGTATATGATTACGTGTTTGTAAGTATGTTCATAGCTACCGAAGCAGAAGCTTATGGTGTTTTGTCTTCAATGTTTCATTTTAATTACATGTATATAGTTTTTTTGTTTTCAATACTTTTAGTATATAATTCACCCGAATCTCGTTCTAGTATTCTTATTAGTGTAGGAAAACTTACCTTTATCCTCACTTGCAACTATGTAACTAAGAAATCCTATTTATTTTGGTATACCATTTTATTACTTTATATGTGGTTTTCATGTTTTATTTTTGCCTCCCATCAACAAACGAGGCCATTTTCATTGTGCTCAATGTTTCTTAGTCTTCGTAACTCATATTTTTTTTAGCTTCTGGAGCTGTATTGAAACTCCTTTCGAATACTAGAAATAACGATCTCTGTTTAATAGTATTGTAAACCAAAATTATACTCAGTCTTTGCTACAATAGCAATGAGTATATCTAGCGAGGTGCATATCTAGGTTTATATACACTTAATAATTTACCTCAAATCCTGTTTTAGGGATTAAAGAATTCTTGATGTTAGTGCGTAGTTGACATTAGGCCTTAACCTACATACAGTCGATACGCTTTGAATGTAGCAAACTAGCTAGCTCAAATAATGCACATATCTATGATGGCTGAGAAAGAGGCTGCGAGTATGAGAATTTTTTTTAATAAACAATTAAAAAGAATAATATGAAACATATAGTAAATATTAATAATAATGCATATTAGAGTAAATGTTTGCTTCAGGACACTTTCTGAATGAAAAAATGGTGAAACAAAGGTTAGCAGTAATACATAATACACAAATTAATGTAATGCTTGTGTATTAGTGATGGTGGCTTTGCTAATTTTTATTGCATATTAACTATGTTCATTATTTTTGACATGTACAGTACAAGCCTTTTAAGATGTAAACCTTTTTTTTGTTGAAATCGGCACCCTTGTTAGGGATGTATGTTTTTTATATATATATATATATATATATATATATATATATATATATATATATATATATATATATATATATATATATATATATTTTATATATATATATATATATATAATATATATATATATATATATATATATATATATATATATATATTATATAATATATATATATAATATATACATACACTTTTTGAAAGCGACACACCTTACTGAAATGTAAATTTTTTTCTTAAATGCTATTGATTTTTACATATATAATATATATAAAAAATGTGTCATATACCTGTATGTTTATTTTGCATTAAAAACACATGACGAATTCTAATAATCCCTGTCGTAGGGATTGCTGCCCACTATCTTCGGTGTTTTAAATGATTAATGAAAAACTACTGCGTAGTAGCTTGGAGTTTATTTTGCTTATTTTACTGATATTGTGCAGACCATAAAAAATATATTTGTAGCATGTACCTTTCAATTTGATTAATCATTATATGTAAATATTTATTCTAATGTCTTGTCAGTATTTCGTACATATTAATAAGATATATGTTTCATATGTGAATACATAATGGTTGCATATTCCTTATTTCTTTTTATATTGTATTTTTATACATTTTCGTAATTTTTTTATAATGTTTTGTGTTCGATTCTATTTAAATGAAGTCATACCGTACCTAACCATCAGCATATGATAAACATGTAGCAGTGAAAACTCGAATTTGCATTGCAAATTATTGGAGTCTTTATCGTTATATAGTTAGGAATGATATTTTGTTTATGCAGCAATTAGTTATAATTGCATATCAATGTATCCTAATGATGTATACATTTAGAAACTTTATCAATGAAAGCTAAATAATTTTATATAATAGTTAATTTAGAAAATGTACCAATGAAAACCAATTACTAGCAGTGTACTTGTTTTAAAACTAGAGCTTTCAGACTGAAGTTCATGAATAGGAAAACCATAGGATTAGACATATGAAGCATTTAAATATTAATATTAGAGGCGATCTTAAGGCCATAAACAATATATTTCAATTGTTTTGTAGTGGCTATCTTGGATTTCCCAAATTCTGCAAAATTCTTAATGCTGCCATGGTGTCATTCATAAGATCTGTGTCAGGGACCCCTAAGGAAAACAAATCTGCAAAATACACTGGGCTCAACAATTCCAGGTTCACCTACAAACTGATTTGCTGGCTTTCGGACTTCCTTGTTTGGTGGTGTAAATGTGAATCTTCTTTTACAGCAGGAGTAGCTAACACAATATTACACCAACACGACACTGGTATTAGCACACCCTTCATGTACAATAAGAATGACCAGCACTGGTATACAGAAAATCTTCCAGTAAAGCAGTAGTGATCAATACTGGTACAATCGTGTACATCAGCAGTGGCCAGCACTGGTGTACACAATTTTCGTGTACGGTGGTAGTGACCAGCACTGGTACACACAAACTTCGTGTACAACAGTAGTTATCAAAAATGGTACACACAGTCTGAGTTTACTCCGGCAGTTGCCGACACTGGTACACATGCACACACACACACTGAGAACAATCCTGTTTTGTAAACAGATCATGTTGAGACTCAAGGGTAACTCGGATCACAACTTACTTGTCTTAGGAGAGTAATCAAAGTCATCAAAGACATAGGAAAACTCATTGCAACTTCTCCCTTGGCACATCCTTTGTAGTTCGCAGGCGTCAGAATACAAGCTGCTTGGAATTTGAACTCACGCGCGCACGCACACACCAGAAACCTACCTTGCCAAGTATCTGTCGACAAGTATCTTTGACACCTAGTAACTACGCACACACAACACACACACACACACACACACACACACACACACACACACACACACACACACACACACACACACACACACACACACACACACACACACACACACACACACACACACACACACCTGTGACCAGCGGGGTCCCACAGGGATCAGTCCTAGGACCAGTGCTGTTTCTGGTATTTGTGAACGACATGACGGAAGGGATAAACTCCGAGGTGTCCCTGTTTGCAGATGACGTGAAGTTGATGAGAAGAATTCATTCGATCGAAGACCAGGCAGAACTACAAAGGGATTTGGACAGGCTGCAGACCTGGTCCAGCAATTGGCTCCTGGAGTTCAATCCCACTAAATGCAAAGTCATGAGGATTGGGGAAGGCAAAGAAGACCGCAGACGGAGTGCAGTCTAGGGGGCCAGAGACTACAAACATCACTCAAGGAAAAAGATCTTGGGGTGAGTATAACACCAGGCACATCTGAAGCGCACATCAGCCAAATAACTGCTGCAGTATATGGGCGCCTGGCAAACCTCAGAACAGCATTCCGATATCTTAATAAGGAATCGTTCAAGATCCTGTACACCGTGTACGTTAGGCCCATATTGGAGTATGCGGCACCAGTTTGGAACCCACACCTAGCCAAGCACGTTAAGAAACTAGAAAAAGTGCAAAGGTTTGCAACAAGACTAGTCCCAGAGTTAAGAGGTATGTCCTATGAGGAGAGGTTAAGGGAAATCAACCTGACGATACTGGAGGACAGGAGAGATAGGGGGGACATGATAACGACTTACAAAATACTGAGAGGAATTGACAAGGTGGACAAAGACAGGAAGTTCCAGAGACTGGACACAGCAACACGGGGACAC